TTAAGCCTATCTGGATGGGGACCGCGGTGAGCATTATCAATTTCCCGGGTGATTTCTTTAGATTGATCCGGCGGGGACTGGTGAAGGTGCATATTGCCGATGTTGAGCGGCTGGAGCCTTACAAGGTCGTTCTGTCCAACGGCGGCGACAGGCTGGACACGAGGGCACTTATCCTGTGCACAGGCTGGAAAGTATCTCCAGGCATTCGGTTCTTGCCGGATGGAACCGAACAAGAGATGGGCTTCCCGTGGGCTGCAGACCCAATTGATCAGGAGCTCGTTAGGCAAGCCCGCAAAGACATATATACGCGTCTGCCCATGCTCCACACCGGCCCAGAGAGCAGGACCTACCACACGAGGGATGCGGAGGGTCAAAATGAAACTGTTCTGCACCCCTTCCGTCTCGCGCGTTTCATTGTCCCACTAGGACTATGGGACGACCACAGCATCGCCTTCCTAGGGACCGTAACCACGTTCAACACATCCTTTGTTGCCGAAGTGCAAGCCCTGTGGGCGCTAGTCTACCTTAACCACGGCCCTGAGCTTCACCATCATCATCAAGACAAGGAGTTAATAGTTAGCGAGACAGCACTACACACAGAGTTCTGTGCGCTGCGCTCCCCGGCGGGCCATGGGGTACGGACTGCCGACTTTGTCTTTGAGGTCATGCCGTATTTGGATCTCTTGCTTGGGGATTTGGGCTTGAGGACTGCGAGGAAGGGGTCGTGGTGGGAAGGTTTGTTTGTTCCGCACCGGCCGAGGGATTATGCGGGGTTGGTGGAGGAGTGGAAGGCGCGACTATCTTCATCCCAGGAGGGGGGAAGATAAAGGATACTTAGCGCTATAGAGAAGACTCTGTACGGGGTGGCTCCGCGTTACTGTTCATGGTAAATACTTTGATGGGTTTCATTTATGGATGTTAGCACAAGGGGATCTAAATGACCTTAGCCACTAGGCAGACGACATGAATCTAGATTACATATCACACTGATAATGTTGAACTCCGTTGACCATCTTCCCTAGAGCAGCTTTCTCGCTAGCCTTGTCTATGATTTCGAACATCCAGCAACGCACTTGGGTTAGAACTTCCAAACACGGCGTAACACACCGTCAAGGCAAGAAAAGCATATGACAGAGCCGATTGGGAAAACATCGGATGGGAGGTGCGGACACTCATGAGACCATGAAAAACCCTGACCCTATAGAGGCGCTTCATGCTACGGTAGAAAGGCTCACATAAGAAGCTGCAAGAGCGATCGACCGTCAGACTTCGGGCCTGCACTTATCTCTCTCTGCAAAGCGGTGGTCCACCGCGTATTTGAACCCTCCACAAAAAGAGGTAAACCAGGAGTGGGGGCATCCTGCCAATTTGCTTCCGATGGGTCGATTATACGAGGTTGATCTGTATTGTCACCAAAAGAGCTATTGGTCATGGCGAATATGTCCAGAGGAGGGGTAAGCTAGAGCTGTACTACGTAAGTGGTTAGCCAGGTATGCCTCATGCCCAATGAACACCGGAAGCCGCCACATGGCGATAAGCAATGATAATCACGAAAAAAGCTGTCAAGCCTTGCCTACCAACTTCACTAGAGATGGACACTAAAGGCAGCGTCAAACCCTCTGCAGTAAAGCAACTGAGGGTGGAGGAGGGAAGTTGACGGATTGCTAACGGTCGCTGGTTTGCTTAGTCTGCATAAAGCCTGCTCGTCATCCATGCTTCCAGGAACTTGTATGGATACAGCCGGGGTACAAGATCAGGTACTATTACAATGTATATTCATAACTCGTAATTTACGCGATTCCACATCAGGTTTCTCAGACCACGTGATTAGGGTTTGAAAGAGCAACACTCTGTTTCCAGATATGGAAGGCAATAACGGGCGGCACTATACCCTGAAACGAGCAAAGTCAGAGAAAGGGATTATTCCGCCCGCGGGGAACACCCCTGTTCCAAAATTTTATCGATGATGCTGTTAGTAGCCAACTAATGTCTTCTCATTCGCTACTCTAACCTCTTGTACCTTCTGCTTTACTACTTCCTTATTCCACGCCCTGTTCTGATTGCTGTTCAAAAATTCGTCATTCTATCTTAACGCTAGTGGTTTCTATCTAGTTTTTATGACCCTTCCCTCTATAACCCTTTACTCACATCGCGAATGTTGATACTGCCACGTCCTCCAGGTCTATTACCACTAATGCCACGTCGTTTCAGGGCTTACTGCGTGCGTTAGCGCGCGTCCCCAGTCTAATCAACGTGGATGTACATGTGCGAGACTGGAAAAAGAAGAGGCTTAACTATGTACGGTCCGTTCCGCCACGCACCCTCGTGATTCGCCCCTTGTATTTCCTCTTCGAGTCTGGTGTGTTAGGGCTTAGGGTTCGCCGTGCATGTATGCAATGTATCTGCACGTTGTCCTCTTTGTGATTGCTTCGATCTTTGTTCTAGGGTCCTCTTTTACTAGGACGCTCTATTGCTTATTGCTATATAGCGCCCGACGATATTATTGTTAGATTAGATAGACCCCGCATATCTGCTGATGAGACTGAAGTGTGCTACCGATGCTTAACATTGCCTTATGCAAAAATTATCCTTGAGAATTATAATACTCGTTGAATACCTTTTACTTAGCTCACTAATATATCACCTGTAACACCATAGAGTGCCTAGGTATTCCTATTGACCATCGACTACGGCGAGTGATTCGTGAGGCAAGACGTATCGATAGGGATAAGGAAAACTTCGACTATATTTAGCTTCTTTATAGCTTTGGATTATCTCTAGAGGTCGACGAGAGTGACTACCCGATATATGACCTAAGCTTCGGACTCGAAATGGCGCGATCGGAATTGAAGGGTGGTGTTCTTATTGTACTAGAACGGCCTTATTCGGAATAGGAAAACTCGGACGGCTTTATAGAAGGCAAACGTAACTACCGAACCATTAATATAGTGTCGGATGTTATATCTGCTATAAACAACTATAAGTTACGTTTTAACGATGTTAGCTTATTTGATGCAATACCTTTTCTAGATAAGATAGTCGCGGAAGATCACTAGGATATTACCGATAAAGCATAGAATGTTTTCGCCGATATGGCTAGAGCTAAAGACCCTGATATTATTCTATGCTGCTTCAAAGCTGAGATTCAAAACTCTGTTGTTAAGAAATTTTAGAGCCGAGGAGTAGGGCGGAGTTTCTACCCTGATATAGTAGTTCCGATAAACGGTGTCACTACCTACACTCTTTCTATGTTTCTTAAACCCTAGTGCTATAAAACACTAAACTACACTTAGAAGAATCTATGTCAGCCTTATTGGTTCGGGTAGTGTACCGTAAATTACCGGATTATCATAATAGCGAGAAATGTATTTATTACTGAAAGAGTGTAGGTGGCATGGATGACGGATCTAATATCTCTAACGTCTATCCGTCCTTACTACTCTTCGAACCTTTTCTTTTGGTTATTCGAGATCCGTTCGGTAAAAGATTATAAAGCCTAGTCTATATTTAGGCCTTGATGGTCTCACGTTCGGGAGGTTGCTGTTAACGAGCACGCACCGTGGGTGCCGGGAACACGCAGAATAGACGAATGAGGAGATAGAGAAGTGGGATCTGGTAGGTATCTTCGGTCTTAAGGGTATGAAGCCTGTCATCCGGATCGGACTTTAGGTTCAGGGCAGATGGAATTGCCGAGCCGAGAAAATCCGAATGGCAACGGAGGCACTGATGATTCATCATCTGCTAACTAACCATTATGTTATTGATTCCACTTTCTATAGTAATTCCAGCGTGAAATATAAAGCTTCTGTATAGCTAACCCCGCCTGAAAAGTGCAGATCTATCTACCTAAGTCTGGTTATAAGCTATCCCACTCGCACACTGCATTGAATCTAGTGAATTATGAGGTTATGCCCCACAATTAATTCCACTAGACAGGAATCATTCCTATATATCCTAAAGGGGGATTAGGTTCAATAACTCTATAAAAGACCTCTTTCCTAACAATCAGCACTTACTAATACAAGGATTTCATCTACAGTATTTACGGAGTGCTTAATTTGCTGTCCTTAAGTTTAGTCACCGGAGTGCTATCTGAAAAATTTCTTTACTACCTCCGGCTCCTTTCACCTAGCCTTCTAGTCTAACATACATAAACTCAATAGTGGAAACGACGTCAAATTGATAATATCGAAAGAATGCCTGAAACACTCATTATCCCTAGCTCCTCCTAAGGCAGCCGGTCAATCCTCAAGCCTACTGCCACCTTCACGGGCGATGTTTATCTCGATATTTTCTATATGGATGACACCACTGCTATCACCAACGTGACCTTCACCCCCTGTGCGCGTACCTATTGGCACACTCACGAAGAAGGGCAATTTCTGAAGGTTGTCGCCGGCTTAGGTTGGATCTACGACAAGGGCGCCGAGCCCGCCGTATCAATGTCGGAGACCTGATCTGGGCTCCCCGGGAACAACCCACTGGCATGGCGCGGATGAGGGTGGCACTATAACCCATTTTGTCATCGCCTTAGGCAAGACGACCTGGCACGATGCGGTGACGGATGAGCAGTACGGGGTGAAGAAGGGTTAGAATTCTCTGAAAAAGAGACAACAGGGATTGAATAAAAAGCAGCGTTGGGTTAGATGTTCCAATTTAACTAGCGTGCAAATTTTATGATCGTGGAATTTGGTACGAATATATTAAATTCATCAAGAACGAAGAGCTCCATCTTATGAAGGTATAAATCCGGCTTTTCGAGGAGATAGTCGCACAGGGCTTCCAGCATAATTGGAGTGATGCTCTGTGGCCATCCAGCTTTGGTAGGAGGAGCTTTGATGCTACCGAATAGTCGCAGATTAGACCGGATTATCATAATAGCGAGAAATGTATTAATTACCCATCAGATCTGGAGGCTGCCACCTCCGTGCCCCACGTCAACTTTCCCAAGCCTCGCCCGAATTTCTTGGTTGGTAGTTCCACTAGCGTTGCAACGAACCATGGCTCCTAACCTAGTTAAGCTTGCGCTTGTGTTGATTCATGATACGATTAGTAGTAATGAACTAACTACGTCGCAGATGGTGGAAGCCGCTGGCTGCAGCAAACGCGCCATTACCCCTTCATCCATGGCTCTTCAGTCTAGCTCTGCCTTCAAAGAGCAAATGCCTTCGAAAACTCTAGAACGAGGAGCTGCTTGAAGCAAGAGGGTATTGGATAATAGTTAACAGCGTAACTTAGGTGAAATGCATTCACAAGGGTAGGCGAAAAACCAAATCCGGTAAGCTTTATGTCACAGTAGTTCCGACAAACGGTGTCACCACCCACACTCTTTCCATGTTTCTCGAACCCAGTGCTAAGAAACACTAAACTACACTTAGAAGAATCCATGTCAGCCTTATTAGTTTGGGCAGGGTACCGTAAATTACTGGAAGATTTGTGCGTGATATTAGTCTCTGGGTGAAGCAACGGGGAGCGGCCGCTTCCTACGTGATTAGTAGTGACTCGATTTTAATATGACAGATATAGCGAATAGAGAAGACACGAATTACAGTACCAGAACGATGAGTCATTTATATTGACCAATGGCTACAGTACGGCCCAACATGGATCATTGGGGAATGGCTAAAAATACACAATCTTGTTTCGAGTTAGGCTTGGGAATAAATATCGAGTAGTGTAGGGTTAAATCTGATTTCACATTACTGTACACCAGTAGTAGAAATCAGTTATACAGTACCTCAACGCTCTTCCAACTTCATTCCCGAAGGATAAATTACGCGCTGATCTATTTTATTTCTCCGCCAGGGGAAATTTCGGCAAAACCGCCTGTAGATAACCGATGAGTCATCGTCATCATACAGTAACTAACTATATATTGCACCAAAGGGGCGATATATCAATTCAGACCTGCTGCGATTCTATTTTGTTGTTCTGTACGCCAAATAGCTCTAAACAGACTATTGCTTCCCCGTTCGACCGACGCTACTAGTTGCCTATAGTAATCTCCGTCCTCTCTGACACGAAATCTTTGCAACAACGTCAGTCTATGCACTTGCTCTACTACTAAGTCGCCATTTCGGGTTCGAACAGCCTACGACCTCCAACTGCCCTTGACGAAATGCATGGCCACGTTGGCTTCCCCGTCCATAAAGCCTACGCCACACTACCGCCTCAGATAACGTTCACCGGCCGTTATGTGCTTGTCGAACCACTTGATGCGAAGCATATCGACGATCTTTACGCCAACTTAGGACAACCAGAACACCATAGCCTCTGGACCTACCTTCCCGCCGGGCCTTTTCAAGACAAGGAATCTTTCACCGAGTTCGTCGGAAGCTTAACACAAAACAAAGGCTCAGTATTCTACGCAGTAGTAGACCGGGCCCAGCGGAAAGCAGTAGGATTCTTCAGTCTTATGCGTATTGACTTGGAGAACCGTGTGGTGGAGATTGGATATATTTTGTTCTCCCCCCTTCTCCAGCGCACAACAGCCGCGACAGAGGCTTTTTACATGACGGCACGTGCTGTATTCGAGGATCTACATTTCCGTCGTCTTGAGTGGAAATGTAATGACCTTAATGATCTCTCAAAGCGGGCTGCGGCTCGTTTTGGGTTCACGGCTGAAGGTGTCTTCCGCCAGCATATGGTTGTGAAAGGTAGCAACCGCGACACGGCTTGGTTCTCAATTATTGACTCGGAATGGCCTGCTTTACAAGATGCTTTTGCGAAGTGGCTTGACCCACTCAATTTCGACGGTGATGGAATCCAGCGTTGCTCGCTTGGCTCTTTCCGCCGAACTTGATTACTGTACAGAATGCAGTTCAAAACTACTTCGCTTCTCTGATCAAATCGTTATGCTGCATTTTTTTCACCTTTTTGTTGCGAGAGCAGGTGGTTACTGTACCGAAGAAAAAAATTCTAAGAAAATTTATGAATTACTAGTTAGCGTAAGGCTCAGATGTCACATTGTACTGTACTAGCCACGAAAGGCCTTGGCGAGGCTCCAAGTTCGTTCCAGGAAATGGCACACGGTACATGTACGTACAGTACATGGATATACATAGTTACTGGCCTGTATGTCGCTGTCGATGCGAGGGGTCAGTGTAAATGAAGTCATACATACATGCATCCATCCATACTATACTAGCTACCATAAATTCTCTCTACGGTCAGACCTGCATGCCGAAAATGTCCCTCTGCGCTTTTATTCCTCGCACCAACCACATCAATACACCATTCGAGGAAGTTATCGAATCCCTGCTCGGGATTCTCTTCGAAGAACTTCCAATTACGCCGAATAAAGGCCTTAAGCTCAGCAAAGAACTCCTCAATAGGATTCAAGTCTGGCGAATATGGAGGCAAATACACTAGCTTTACTCCGGCTTCGGAACACATCTTTTCTATCCTGTCAGAATGGTGGAAGGATGCATTGTCCATGACCAGCACAGACTTCGGCTCGGGCCACCTCCCGCAGTGCTGAAGAAGCTGCTCAATAAAATCCTCGAAGACAGATGCAACAGTTGAGCCTCGGAACATCCGAGAAAGGACAATACCATCTTGAGCATATATAGGTAATATCTGATATCGCTGATCACGATGAAATTTGGACACTTAGACTAGCGCAGTACCTAGCGGAGACTAGCCCGTTCGCCTAAAGCCTATTCGTTTATCACAGCCTAACTTATCTATATAGACAAGATAGTACGACTGGAATTCGGAGATAAAGTAAAAATATTTATCGCGTAGGTCTTGATTGCGTTCTCGAGCCCTAACTCGAACGGTCTTTTTTGACCAGCTTTTAGAGGTAAGAGCACGGCTAATACTCGATATTGCTGCTTAGATAGCGAATTCGTCCTAGAGAAAGATCGCTATCTCATAGAGATAAAGGTTAGGCTTCTCGATTAGGTGCTCGCATAGAGCTTCTAGCATAACTAGAGTGACGCTTCGTGGTCGACCGCCCTTATTAGGCGGGGCTTTAGCGCTGCCGAAGATTTTTATATTGGAGGATATTCTTAGGATGGTTCTCCTGTTGTAACTAGCAGCCCGTGCCATCTACGATACAGACAGCTCTCTACTGTGGATTATGTTAGAGATAAGCTCAAGCTTTAAGGGGGCTAAGTTTGGTGCCATCCCGATATGGCCACTTAGAATAATGGTTGAGCTCTCCGTGTACTAGGAGATCATCTTTTGAGATAGGGTAAAAAGGTGTCAGCCGTAATAAAGTACAAGCGAATATAACCCCACCATAGCGGTAGGTATGGTGTGTAAGAAACAATACAGACCCCAGTGCCAAGGATACGCGGAAAAATTCCCAATAAGGACTAGCTCAGCTTAGTAATTTAAACCCGAAAAACAGTGTAAGAGTGAAAGTGGTGGCACCGGTTTCGGGACGCACTGTATGGACTAGTAAAGCCATAGTTATACTCAACAGCTTGATCATTGCGAATAGTATCACCAAACTTAGTTAAGGAAGCTTCCTTCGTTATTAGATAATGTGAATCCTGCATTTCCCTAAGCGAAATAATGACGGTGTAACTCGGATGGAGAAAGCCAACATTTCTTGATTGCGTATTGCTAACGGGGAGAAATTGATGAAGCGTCGACGATAATCGATAATCTCCTGGCTCCGGTTCATTTGAGAAATCACAGAACCCCTAATCCTCGGATTGCTTAGCGAATTTAGTGGTTAAGGCAAGGGTTTTATATTGGTGTCGTGACAGAGGCAGAGCAAGCAATTGTTCCCGAGGATAGTCAAGGCTACTATCTATTTGAATCGAAGATATCTAGTCTAGTAGCATGATAGTGTTATTAGGAAAACTGGGATTCGCATCATTATATTTAAGCGCACTACTGCAATTCTTCCGGATATTTTCCTCCGTCAAAGTTGGGTCAAGGTCTAAGTCCGGGTCGATTTGAGGCAGAGTGTCGAGAATGTTCGAGAACTGTGGACTTCGGCAAAACGTGAGGTTATAGGGGGATTATCACTAGCAGACATATGACATCCAGTCGTCTCATCCGCCCGGCGCTCGGCTTGGGAAGGAAAGGGTAATTCGGGCAAGACTATATCCGCTGGATTGCAGAACAGCGTAGCTTCGGCGATGCGAGTTGATTCTATTAGTGCGTTAGCCTTTAGTAACAGCTTTTGTCCGCAAGAATAAAATCCCTACCATTGAAAGTATATCTATCTCCAACCTTGGACAAGGGCAGCAGAGGTGTTGATGGCCAAGGTGCTAAAGGGTGCATATCACTCTGCAAGTCGTCCAGTGTGTTCCGACAAATATTGCTACTGTGATCATACGAAGGGTTGCCGATTAAGCATTAGTTTTCGAAGTAGTCCCCTGTAGAGGTGGCTAGAGAAAAGGGCAGAGAATTTGCAAGCGAATTTGCAAGCGAAACAGTGATTGATCGGGAAAAATAACCACGGATGCCCGTTTAGCGGCAGAGTTAAACAAAAGTGTAATACGCGAAATAGGCTTAACTACGGGAGGAATAATATTCTTTCCTTACGGTGCGTTAACCTATTTTTCTATTACCTAAAAACCCACTATCTATTTAATTGTTAGGAAACTATTAGGAGTGAAGTTTCTCTAGAGCCAAGGATAAACAGGATGGTTAACTGTTTGAATGTGGAAGGTTGAAGCTTGTTATAGCTTAGCGTGTATCTAGGTCAGAACTTGCTAAGGCCGGTGAACTAAGCACAGTAGAGCCTCACTAACCAGCTTCTACGGGAAAAGGTTGCATGCAATCTTTCATTGCTGGATTGTGACTAACATTAGAGTCCAACTGACCAAACTCCTAAGCGCTGAATGCTGGTGAGTTTGCTCACGAGTCTGTGCATCACTTCCCACATTTTAGTTAGTAGTTTCTTCAAGCCCTGGTTGCAACTTCCGGTCGAGACAGGCAAGGCTCACGGGTGAAGGGAAATAGACACCTGCCCCACAGTGGGTCCAAATTCGGGCATCGACCGAGGCTCTTTTAATAAGCCGTGTCCCATTTTGACCTTAAGAACCTCAGATTGCCAACGGATAAGAAATCGTATTAGAATAAGCTAGCACCCGGTGATAGGAAACAAGGACCAGATCTCTCTCCAGTGCGGGATTTCTTTAATGGTTCCTCAGCTCACTGATCAGGATTCCTCCGAGAGACTCCCATCCTCCCCAGCTACGGCCGTCCCACCATTTATGCAGGCAGGCATTACTGTCCGTCGCAACTCCGAAAAGATCCAGCCGATTGGCACTCCAGGAGTCTGCGGCAATCGCACTGAAGAACGTATTGTTCCCCAGCTTCTCCCAACCGCCCCAGCGGAACCCGTCCCACCACTTGTGGTAGCAGGCATTATCTGTTCCCAGCGCAAAGACATCGAGTCGGTTCGAACTCCAGGCCACCGAGCTCAATGAACTGACGAGAATCCCGCCCAAAGACTCCCACCCTTGCCAACGGCTACCATCCCACCATTTGTGGTAACAGACGTTGTCGGTGCCCCTGGCGAAGAGGTCCAGGCGGCCCCGATCCCAGCTAACTGCCGAGATCGGGCTGGTCAAGACGCCTCCAAGGGACTCCCATCCGCCCCAGCCGGACCCGTCCCACCACTTGTGGTAGCAGGCATTGTCGGTCCCTAGTACGAAGAGATCCAGGCGATTTGATCCCCAGCTTACGGCCTCGACGCCGCTGTTCAGCACCCCACCCAAGGACTCCCATCCGCCCCAGCGGTCGCCGTCCCACCATTTATGGTAGCATGCGTTGTCGGTCCCGCGGGCGAAGAGGTCCAGCCGATCGGCACTCCAGCTCACGGCCTTAACCGAGCTGGCCAGTGTTCCGCCGAGGGACTCCCAGCCGCCCCAGCGGGACCCGTCCCACCATTTGTGGTAGCAGACGTTGTCCGTGCCTAGCCCGAAGAGGTCAATCCGCTTTGGTTCCCAGCTTACGGCCGTGACAGGGCTGCTAAAGGTTCCGCCGAGCGATTCCCATCCACCCCAGCTGGATCCGTCCCACCATTTGTGGTAGCAGGCGTTGTCGGTGCCAATGCCGAATGTGTCGATCCGGTGTGAGGACCAGGAAACGGTCGACAGTTGCTGTGACATTGTAGCGTCCTTTTCTTTAATCTGATATCCAATTAGCACGCTGAAATAAGAAGCGAAATCACACAACGGTTCCATGATCAACGTACTGAGCGTATTGTTTAGTAAAAGGAGGTTTGAATTCAATATGATTTTGGGTGTCCAAAGTATATTGTGTCTTTACATATCCATATTCGAACCTTGGACGGATGCATTATTTATAGCCGCGACAGCTGTAAAGTCGGCTTGGACAGTGTGATGCAACATTGACAATTATATCGCTGAAACTAAATGACTCTCCGTCATTCCCGAATACTTAACCTTAGAAAATCCCATAAGCCTGGGTACGCTTTCCTTGCAAAACATGATCTTTCCAGTTCAGTGACATGCTAATGTATCCAAGGATCCGTTTTCATCGTCAAATGTGGACGTATCTTTGGTTCTGGCCCGATAGTAATATCATAATGATATTGTGGCGACATCATAATTTCATCTGTGCAGTAACCCGAGTTCTAGATCGATAGATGGACGATTTGACATTAGAACCTGAAAGCCAATGACATGCTAGTCTATGTATGGTTACCTTGGGTCCTAAAAGGTTAGCTGTATACCATTGAATAATATATAACTAACGTTCTTGATTAATGCCCGCGGCAGTAGACCGTTGCAACCAAACTCAATCGTTACAGCTGGTCGATGATCTCGCGGGGTAAGTGTTGAAAGTTGATCTAGATCTAAATAAAGTTTAATCGGCTACGTCAAGATCAATACGTAATTTCTCTAGACCATAAAGATTGAAATCTCTTGAGTCCTTCCTGCAACCTTGGATGGCCAAGACGATGGTCTCATTGTTAAATAAAGCTTTATTAAGTTTCCCAATAGAAATTTTAGATGGTTGACGCTCGAGTCGGAGCTTGGTTCACATCCTGGCTCTACCGGTTTGTCATCGGTGGGATCCTTCCGCCCAAGGATCTTGACTTGGTCGGCAATACCACAGTAAATCTGCTCGAAATGAGTGGCGTTACTTGCGTGAATCCAGAAAACCCATGTCTCGAGCAATCGATCTTGAATTCGGTAACAATATTCGATCGCAAGTCCCAATCTGTTAAGGTGGATAAGCTGCTGCCCATTTCCACTTAACCAACACCACCTAAGCCGACAAGCGCTATCCGAGCGCCCGGTGCAGAGCCTTTTTGATGTATCAGATCGAGTAGCGTTCCACGGTCGACAAAGATAGAGTTAGACATCGACAAAACCCATAATGGGTCGAAAAATGGGTTTTGGCGATGTCTAGTTAGGGTCGCGACGGACCGGGACGGTCGATAGAGGGGGTGGGGTCGCTCTGGGCCAAGAAGCGGGTATTAACGTAATTCACTCATCCACTTCGGACGCTAACTTTAAATTAACCTGGAGGGCGAAAAGGTTTAGTACTCTGTCCTTTTTTGTTAACAGGTGCGTATTTAGGGTTCCCCCACCGCAACTGAATCCGTAATCCCTAGGGCACTGGGTTGGCTGCTGTTTGAGTCTCCATTAGGCCGCCTAAAGATATTGCTGTTGTATCAAGTCTGTCTATAGTGTATTGTTGCAAGCTGTGTAGGGTTACAGTAATCGCCATATCTATCTTCAGAGAGCAACGGCGATAGTATCATGGCTATATAATCTTTAAAGATAGCAAAACCAAAGCTTAAATAGTGTAAATCAGAGTTCAGAGTTCATATCTGCTGTCACCCCTCTCTGCCGAGAGGAGATAGATGAGGTTGGTTCTTTCTTGTTCCCCAATAGAAAATGGAGTATAAAACAATCTAAAGTATAATAAATAGACACGAACGGGGCGGAAGGCCAAAATTTGGTTGAGGCAAACCGTAAAACGGACCCCAGCTGCTGTCTTGTATTTGCTTAAATTGATAACCTGTGGGTTGGTCACCTGTGGCTACCTAAACCGACCCGTGGGTTATGGGGAGACCTAGCTCTGGCGGACTTTTCAGCCCGTGGACTGATTTGTCTGCTTCTGGTAAGAAAGTCTTAGCTGCAAGCAGCATTATGGCCGTTGCCCTTTTAGCGTAACCAATCGTTGTATTACTGTCATGACTTGACTGGTCATCATACAATCGTCATGGGTGAGGCGAGGTGCTCATCACCCTTCTTTTCCATGTTTGAGGCCTAACGTTGCGTATCACAGGGGCAAAATCTTAGTGGATCTGGGAGGATCCGATTGAAGACCATCCCTAGTATCTTGAAAATATGTTTAACAAATAAAATTTTGAATAGATTTATCTGCAAGATCATCTGAAGTTTTCTTTTGCTTTGAGGACTCGTCATTTAATTTTCAGGACCAGCTGCACTTACTAATTGCAAGCCGCCTAAGGAGCTCACGTCTAAATGACGCGACGTGTTCTCAGGTTCCACCACTCCTTGTTTACCTTCTAATTGATTTGAGAAAGAATTCATTTCTCTATCTTCCTTCGTTCTCGTCAAGCACCTCTCTAGGGTAGCCTAAGCAATCTACCGATCCAACTACCGACAATTCAAGATAGCTTTCGATCTCCTCGAACGCTACCGAGAACAGAGAGAAATTTGTGATCTGGGTACCTATTAATTCAGCGACAAAACCTCCTTAATTAGTATTAAGTACTTTCGACTAAGTGAACATACTCCCCCTGGAACCAATGCAAGAATTTCATTACCGAACGGCCCCAGGCCGAGTGAGCTCGAGCGGAACCACATTCTGAATGACATAATCGAAAATTGAAGACCGTTTTGCCAGGGACTACAGTGAAGTCGATTATGGTACTCTGAAGGAAGACCTTATTCCTGTGATGGAAAAGGAGTTTAACCCAGAGGGTCAGCTCGGCGAGTTCCTCCGGGCATTTCGGAACACATCCGGATTCAAAAATTCATTTAAGAACATAGGCGATCCCACCCTAAAGAAACGGATTACCGCCTTTATCGAGGGCAAGCCGTCCGACGATGCAGTTTGCAACCATGACTTCGAGTTTCTGGCCATCACGGCCCTGTCAAGCCCTGCTTTTCCTTGTTGTTTGTACTCAAGAACCTGTCTGTCTGTGCTTTGCAATTCAAGGGGGCAATCAAAGATATCTTCCCACGAAAGCACCGTTATGTCCAAGATCTACCGGGGTTTTGGGAAGATCAAAAGAAAACTAAGCCTATGAAGGTAATTTGCTCCACACTGTCGTATAATGGGTATGTGGAGAATAAATGTTGGCCTACAGTGGGTTTCGAAAACAGATTACCCCCCAGACACACGCGCTTTCTTTCCCAGCGCCCCACTCCGATTGCGCTTAGCTGACTTTGGCTAGAGAAAGTCCCCTGTGGGAGCGTGTGGCGGTATGATTGGCTGTAGGGTACTCTGAAACTCGGCGATCCGGACTTGGCTCTCTAGTGGGGCGTTGGGAAAGAAAGCGTGTGTGTCTTGGGGGCAATCTGTTTTCGAAATCTACTGTAAAACTAATTGACCAGATTGTCTGCCCGTCGAACCTCCACTCCACTCTCTCCCATGCAGTTTGGTAGAAAAACATATTTAATTACCATCCCCCAGCATTTCCTATCAGAACATCTTAGTTTTCCGCTTTCCAGCCACAAAAGAATGCTTATCTTGACATTTCCCAGTGTCTCTACGTTTAATCCTTATAAATATTTGAGTTTCTTACTCGGTTCAGGCGTCCGCACCCGTGGAGTACAGTATAACTTTTTCATTACATGCAAAAACCAAAGGACTGTGGTCTCCTGTCTCCCATGACCTAGATCGTTCGGCAAAGTGAAGAGATGTTTGACCGTCTTCGTCCCTCAATTGATATCTGCGCCGCGATCAAGAAGGTCAACAATCTTAATGGTAACAGGGTTGCCAAAGAAGCTGCAAAAAAGGGAGACTGCCAACGAACGGGGCACGTTGGACTACTAGATAATCGCTCAAATCTGGCCGCAGGAGAGGTTGGTTCGCGACTTCCCACCACTTATCGACTATAAATCGATGCCCGTCTATAACAGGGACCAAAGAGAACCTTTCCCATTCCCTGAGCCTAGATCCACTAGCCTCGACAATCCCAAACGGGTTGACACCCAGCAATCCCCCGTTGAACACGTTCCTGAATCCATAACTTCCACAACTAGCTGTTTCGACTTTCCATTGCTGTTTCTGCGAACCCGGATTTTCCCAAGGCTTTAGCCTCACTTCTCCTTGAGGATTCAAAACGGTCAGGGCTTCTTCATCATTAACAAGCAGAGCGTAGGACACCCCAACCCGAACAGGGGGGTTCGGGGAGTTCGGTGATGGAGTCGGTGATGGACCTAAGTATTTCTTTAATCAGCCCGCGAGCTTGAATCAAAGTCTAGTAGGTCCTAATGACACGGCATAGAGCAACATACTATGCTCAGCGAATCGTTTAGGCACCTCCAGCTTCGCTTCATTAGCGAGTCTTCTGAGTCTTTCCCTCACGATTAGGTAATCGCCTTGGTTCCTGGAGTTGTACTTCACAAGTCCTGAGTGGTCCGTATTGAGGGGGATATTGTCTTCGTCGGCCACTGCTACTAGGCCAGTGCTAGTAGCCGACTTTTCTGTTACCAGCAAAGAGCGGCGGCCAGTTCTGCACCATCTCCCATCTTTAGAGCGCTATAAACGAGTATTAGTCTTTCGTTATTATATCCCCAACAGAGCTTCTGACCTCTAAAGTTGGACTAAGGGTGCGCTCGAAAAACGTCACTACTCGGTAGTGCCCCTTACAGCTCTCGGAAAACTGGTCGGCAATTCTCTTGAGAAAGAGTGAGGGCTCTGAGTCGTTGTCCACGAGCAGACTGTCAATTAAGGCCTTGTTCGGTTGGCCCTGGACAAGCGTTCTTAACTGTTCATTTCGCAGGCCGAGATTTGGCACGCCAAAAAAAGCAGTCCAAAACAAGCGTTGGACAGATCGGAATCCCAACTACTTCGTTGTCTACGAGCGCGGATAAGCGCCTACAATGGCTAGTCAGATGTGCCGCTGCGGAGATGATGTTGCGTCTTACCTCTTTGATCAGTAGGCCGCCGAGGCTGTGGCCAATGAGGATGGTCGGTCGGCGAGAAGTCTATTTGGTATTAAGCCTGATCTGGACGCCACGGGAGACCGCTTACACCATCATTTGCGCGAAAGGCAGTGACCTGCTCCAGGAAGGCGCTCCCGAGGTCTCCAATGGACTGTCTCGACTGGCTGCCGGGGAGCGTTGTATCGTAGCCGTAGAGCAGCACTCGGATATTGGGCATGTCTCCAGGTAGGAAGTCGCGTAGCCAAACTTCGTCGCTGTTTCGGGACTTCCAAGAGCCAAGAGCGTGGCCTCCGAGGCCTGTGACTGCGATGACGCTGTGGGGAAGGTGTCAGCAAGGACAAGGTGGGCCAACGAAAGATGGCACGTACTCGATGTCTGCGCCTTTCTCGTCCTCGTAGAGTGGCGTGATTCCGTCGAATTTGCAGGTGTAGCTATACGGGTAGCACTTTCCACTTCGGTGTAGCCGGGCGCATAGGTCCTCCCCAGATAGCGGAGTGGTGATAGAGACGGTAGCGCAGATGAAGCGCTTGTCTTTTGGCGCCACAGAGTGATGGACTATGGTAGCAGCGGCTCCCCGCAAGACCGGGTCATGCTTGGCGACAGACCTGATATTGCGAACTAGTTCTTTGGTGTGATCGATTGGGATGTCATCAATACGAAAGGTCAAGCTCTTGGGCTTGGGCGCCTCTAACGGTTGCCGCCGGCGTGCGCGGACGGCAGTCAGCATGAAGCGGAAGGCAGTCAGCATGAAGCGGAAGGCAGTCAGCATGATGACGATGGTCGCCGTAACGACTAGCTTCAACAAGCCTGCCAAGACGCTGGACGGCATTGCGACGTACGAAGGAAGGGATGTTGTGTCATGGGGGTTTTGAGAACGGATCCAACGAAGCCGATATCAAATGTCAATATGCCCAGTCCGGTGGCCGGGTCCCAGATCCAGTCTATCACTTTTAACGCAGACGCGAGCCGGGTCCAATCGTGTGACCACGCAACAGGCTCGACTCTCCCGTTATGTCACTTAATTGTCGATTTCTTCAGTCGCTGGGAACATGAGTCAATTCATGCGTCGGTATCTCTCTGGTTTCGTTTATGTCCCTCGTGCCGAACAGTGGGAAGCTGGTTGAGAAGTGAGACTCGTTCTGACGAACTTTCCAGTTAAGAACGGTGTTTAATCGAATCTTTTATGTCAGCTTTGCATCATCAAGCGCTGCCTATACCTGGCCGTGCTGAGCTCTTGAAGTAGTGAAATCTAGCTTTGAGTTTTTGAGTTTTTGAGCCGATGCACTGGCGCCGCAAACGGAAGATTCTAGCCAGTCTCTATGACGACTCTCAGTGCCCCTACCCCAACAGCTCCCCGAGGTCATGCCACTGCCTGTTCTTACCAGACACTCAACATTTAAAACCCTTTGTTTTTCATGATGACTGAAATGTGTATCTGGCTGGAACATTCCTTCGGTTGGTGCACTTGATTATTGTCAACTTCAAGTCGCGACCGCATGAACTCCAATTCAGTACAATACCCTACCCAAATCATGCCTAGAAAGGCACCATTCAGTGCGGAAGTCCTCGGTTCAAAGGAAGCCGATTTGGACCCCACTGATACTCTGCTTCTGCCTGCTTCCGCTCGTGATGAGCACCAAACAGTCAGCAGTCCTACCGCAAACATCTGCGGTTTTTTACAAAAGGACCTCTCCTGTAAACATCTTAATAATATTGACAAATTCCTATGGTTGGCTGGGCGACCCATGCCGCCCAGGCCTTTGAACTATCAGGCTGCAACGTCAAGAGAAATTGTCCCAGATGAGAGAATCAACATGCACCTGGTCTGGGAAAGCTCTCGGCGCATTCATCTGAAACCGATCCCGCGATACCTCCTGGATCATCAATTCTGGGATTCTCACCTGATCTGCGCGGAACAGTGTCCTTGTCTATCCGGGCATGGTTATCCTGCGGCAGCGCGAGGGGAATATTTATGCCAGCGAAAAGAGCTATACGAATATAGTCTCGGACTTTTGTTTTCTTACATTGCACTGATCCAGTACGAGAGTGATTTCGCGATTGCCCAGGTACATCATCTAATACCAGAAAAAGTCACATGGGAGCAGTGGGTCATATTAGTACAGCAACTCTTGGAAAACGGAGCCGCTAATCCCAAAAATATCAATGCACGATACTTGTTCGGCGAGCTTAGGCTTTCCCGGCTTAACAAAATCTACGCTTGCCGTTGCGGAAATGTGTTACGAGGTTATCAATTCCCCTATCAAACGTACGGCGAGCTTTTCCGTGACTATCTCACGCCTCTCACCGCGATGACTATCTATGTCGCGTTGGTGTTGACGGCGATGCAGGTTGGACTAGCTACCACGCGCCTAGGTGACAGCCTGCCATTCCAGAGAGCTTCGTATGGCTTTACTGTCTTTTCCATCCTTGGACCGCTCATCGCGATTATGTTGGTGGGCTTTGTGGGGCTCTTGCACCTTGTCAATAACCTTGTGGAGACATGGAGGTTTAAACAAGAACGATTTGCAGGCTATGAGTTGTTGACGTTACGAAGCCCCTGACTAGCAAAGGACTATTCTGCGCTGTTCCGATTAGCTGGATCCCATTTTTGGGGTAAAAGGTTGTTGATGTTGACTTAATGGACTTTGTCCCCTGATGGGTTGGGTTGCCTTTGCGCTCGGTGCCTGGTTACGGTGTTTGGCCAACTATACTACGGTTAGTTGCTCTATTACATAGGCAATTCTTAAATATAAATAAACCCTATTGTATGGCGTTGTGGTTAGGCTCCTCCTGTATTATCTGGCGGGATCAGCAACCTAAGATGTGGACCATATTGAGTCGACTTGGAGAGAAGGGTCTTCCACAATCTTGAAAGGGACCCGTAGACGAGTGACTGTCAACAGATACTCGTCGAGTTCGAACTTGGATGAGTGAGTACAGAAAAGACATCGCTCGGTTGCGTCCACTGGGTGGAGAATTCACCAGAAGGGGTGCCGGCTTCGAACTCGCGGCGGAGCAGATGATGAGTAATGAACGGATGCATGGGTGGGAAAGGGGAAGAGTAATGAAGAGGGCTAAGACATGGACAGCGGTTTGAGTCTTGTGTTTGCGACGAAAGAATCTCGGCCACTTGCTAGAGAACACAACAGCGAGGAATATCTAGAGAACAAGGTGGGAAACATACAACGAGGACGACAGCAGATGGAAAGATGTCACCAGGATCGTATGCTAGTGTGATGGAGTCTCATCGCGTTTAATTATTACATGTGGACACGATGTTTCATTACCGAGCATGCTGACACGACACCCGTGGTTAAGTTTCTCCGCAGATGGGTAACGTAATTCACCTCTGAGAGACGCACCCCAGAACACAGTAGTACAGTGACGATCCATCAGTTTCGACACCCCTAGCCCCACACCGGGAATTATTATTATTATTATTATTATTACTAGATCCCTATCCCAAGAGAGGGGGTGCTGGAGCCAGGGCTGACTCCAGGTTCGGGCCTTCCCTTCACTATAGGACATAGAAAGTGGGGCCACCCTGACTCCTGAGGTTCAATGAACTCCGATCGGCCTGAAGTTTTAAGAGGTTATAATAGACTGTCCAATTTATCTCCCATTTGCTTCGGAGCATGTGCAGCCCCTTAGTTCTCGAGAAAATGGCGATTGAAAATTAAAGATGTTTTGTTGGGGTACGGCATTTTGTACCTTTACGGCGTACCTTTAACTACTTCCAAAGACGCCACCGTAGCACTATTGACGACTCCTATAACCTTAATAATGCTAGTGAATAATAGTCACGGGGTCTATTAATGAAAGAAAGGGTTTCAGCTCTTCTTAAATTGAATGTAACTTCCTTTCTAGCCTATTTTACTACAGATCAAATCTTACTTTTTCCTAGTTTTACCTTATATGTTGAAATTACACGATGAATTTACTGGGAAACATGTACGTCAAGGCCAACGAGGTTGTTTAGGTCTGATCTCTTTTCAATGAAAGAGAGATCCTATTTAGTGGAGAGCATTTCTCCTGAATTATGCTATACATGGTAGGTTCAATGCTGATCACTAGATTCATGCTGGCGGAGCAGGCATTTCATGCCTGGAGAAGCCATGAATCTCAACAGTATATAATCTATGATCATTATATATATCTTAGTACATATATCTCTAGACCACTAGCATGCAATTCTTTTACAACCCTTCGATGTACCAAGTCTTCGTGTGTAAGACATGTAGTATTTCGCGAGTGATTATTCTCGAGCCATTGACTGGAGACTGATCGTGACAAGAGTCAGTAGCGGGGTGGCAATTTGGATATAGCGCCCATCCGCAAGGTCAGAGCCTCGGCAATAACGCTTGTAGCGAGTTTCGAGTACTGCGAACTGACAGATGATATCCTTCGCGGGGTTTGACAGTAAATCCTTAACTGGTGTCGTGATAGGCGATGTATCAAGTGTCAAGGCCCGGTACGGGTTGCCACACTTAGCGTAGGTGAGACTATGCCGGAGAGTAACATAAAGGAAACTGTCGTGGGTTCGAATAGCCTACTGTATTTAGCCTGGATGGGGCGAGACAGAGAATCAATAGAGAGTCCGTACCGATGTCATAGAATCGTACTTGGCGATCTCCTTAGGAACTTGACGGAGGAAAGAAAACAGTAAAATGCTAGTCTGCTGTAATATAGCCTGAAAACCCTGACCTTGGTCGATGGCATATCCAACACGTCATGAGCCCAATCCTGGAGACTCATATTTTTGAATATTTTCCAGCTGTCCCGTAGGAGTTGCATAGTGGCTGGCCCCGTATCTTCATGCCTTGAAAAAAATTTCCAGGATACTGGGATATCCTCGTAGGATCCGTGGTTGCAGTTTTGTGTCGTAGGAAACGTGTTGGGGTAAGTCAATAAATTTCCATCCTCACTTTGTCGGCTAAACTCCAGATCCACCATTGGCCGCGATACTTCAAATGCTGAGTGTCGTATAACCGGGACTTGGGGTGCCTGGTCATCTATATGTGATGGGTATGGAAAGGCAGAATCTGCCTTTGGTCTTTGGAGAGATGGGGGCTGCTCTGCGTTATAGATGATGCCCCGTGAGGAACACGGGCACGGGCCTAATATCGGAACTGGGCGAACTGTACCGCGAAACTCGGTTGATTTATGAGATGTGTCGATGCACCCCAAGAGGCTATTCTCCTGTCAGTTCCTCTAGGAATTCAGGAATAACCAAGATGCTATCAAAGAGTCACACTTTCAGTACTTGTAGCAGGCATTTAAGTCACTGCTGTTTCAGTCATGATAGATACGGGAAGCCAGTGGATCGGGAACATGTATGCTCCAGTTTGAACATTTATGTGGTAGGCTTTGAAGACGGTTTTACCTAGCGGTTCAGTCTGATTAAACGATATCTCATTGCATTTGCTTTTATACTCTCCTTCGTATCATTTCGTTCTGTTTTGCCAGACTATGATCTTAAAAACCGCAACGGATGCTGAATATTTACTAAGCTGGTATGCCTTCTCCGAATGTCCTTATTTGCGCTTTACACTCAGCCCTCATACAAGACCACACATTAAACCTAAAAGAAATTGATCAACGTATGTTATTTATTTACCACAAAAATGATGGGAAGGCATGTTAGCTCTACTGAACCAAAATTCAAGCTTAGCAATAACCATGGGCCGCTTCAGTCGCTTTTAGTCAACAAGATTCTCTTGAAGTGGCATGCACTTGTTCTCGCCATTTCGTATGGTACGGCGGTAAATCTTGCCACATTATAATAGTCCGTCGTCCATCTTAGGTTGCTAGAAAAGGCAGCAAAGCAAATTTGATCCGTCAACTCTAGATTTTTATAACTCTTCCTCACTTGAGAATAACGGGCCCTGATGATTCTTGGGCGGCGTGAAGCTTCTGGCAAGGCGGAGTTTACAAAGGAGCCTTGCACTGCGATAAAAATCCCATCCCTCCGAGTTCCACGACAAGCCCTTCGTTCGTTCGGCTGCCAACATGTCAGAATGCAGTGGCAGCCAAAACGCAAACTCAATCTTCGGAATGTTCTACGCTTTTGCAGGAAACCAGCACGTGGCCTACTTCGCAAATTGGCCAGGGAAGGGATTCGCTCAATTGCAGCCCAAGTTCAAGCTACAGATCATGGAACGATGGCACTGGGTCGAAGAGCAATAAGGTCCTCTCTCACAGAGTGCATTCAACTATTGCACCTTCTCACAGAACAGATTGATCAATCAACGCAGGTTACCCAAGACCAGGTTCTCGGAAAAGTTGCACAGCGGTTCCCAAAGTACAAGTCGGTGATAGGGGCAATCCCGGCTGTGGCGAAGTGTATCCCGGAAGATTTGAAACAGCGCTTGGCTGTCAGATCGCAATCCAAATCATTCAAAATATAGACGTTCTCAAAATCGGCTTGACAGATACACTCTTCGTCACTCTTTTCTGGCCCCACCGCCAAGGCCTTAGCGCAGATCATTTATTTAGCGGGCCGCGTCAAACTGATGGCCGCCAAAAAAGGCACCCAGTATAGTACTGTATCTTGGTATGTATATTACAAGATTCTTACCATACTGAGTGTCTTTTTTTGGAATTCCGTGGAAATGTGCTGTGGGGCTTCGCAAATCATGCGGGATTGTCGCCTAGCAACTGGTTGCCGGACTTTTTGCCAGGCGACTTCGGACTTTTTACTCAACCTGTACAGCATGAATTGATTCTCTGCGCCAGCCATCATCATTGAGAGGTGTCTCTTTTGTCTCTTTTGCTTAGGGGTCATCACCAACTTACGTCTGCAACACAGTATCTCGACTACGGTTCTGTAGTTTGCGAACAATAGCCTTTCCGGCAGCCGATGGCGTAGGCCTCAACTAATAGTCACTCACCAGAAGTCTATCTTTACGGTGAACCCAGAGACATGAGACGCAGTTTTCCCATTAGCCATGATAATCATGATGTTTAACAAAGTGAAATGTTGGAGACCTAGGACGATACATTACAATATGCACCAACACCTGGTTACCTCCGACGTTCACACACCTAACATTTGCTATCGCTCCCACTTCTTCGCAAGAACATACTGCGGAATGCGATAGACTTCCCTTGCTCCAATTCGGCGATTGGGAGGAAGGTCGGACGTATGATGAGGAACCACAAGCCTGCATTTACTATTTAATTGAGTGGAAGATTACGCTCAATAACAGGACTGTGGTAAAAGATACTGAACAAGACCTTGTCCTAGCCCCTCGTTTTTACTGGAGGCTCTTTCTACAGCCAAAGCTGAAGGAGCTCCTTATTCGACAGTATCCACGTCGGGAACTGGAATTGGATGACACCTCTGTTGTCGTTTCAGCTACGCGGCAGAAGGGCATTAATTGAAGATTTGACGGGACTGATATCGAGTGGTCCTCTATAGAGAAACAGCTCCATGATTAGGGAAATCTCTTTCTTGCTGGCAAGAAGCTGAAACTGAGTATTGCCTTCAACTATACGGAGATCACACAGGGATCTGCCGCAGGCCGCAGGGCTACTGATAAACGTGGTGATTCTTCTGCTACTCAGCGCATGCTTCAAGAGCGAGACCAACAGATTTGTGCCGAGAAAGAAGCGTCTGGAGAACCTCCCACCTGGAAAATGGTATATGCTCTGATGCGCTGTCCAGGGTCTTGTGACTTAGGTCCACATTGTTGGCAGATCCTTATGGGAAGAAGCACTACAAGCTGTACCGCGATCAGCTGGAGAGCCTGGTGAAATACGTGCAGAGTGGCGGGCTTTTACAAACACACGAAGATGTTCCTGGTATGATCCATGAGCATATATATAGAGTGGAGTACCCAATTCCGGAGCGTATCCTCTTCAATTTGCGTCACTTTATGGCCGTTGGCGCGGGTTTCGACGTGATTTTCAATGCCGCGGAGACGCGTACGTACGTAGGGTTGATTCCGGGACATTAAAACGGCGAGCTGCTTCGCGGATAGAGGTATTTTATTGATTTTTAATAGCCTGAATAGCTAATAATTGTCTACCTTCCTGCTCAATTGAATTTCGAGAGGATTGAGTACGAATTGGTGGCATGGTGGGTAGTTGAAGAAGAAAGGTCTAATTAATTGACGCGTTTTACGGTAGGTGCGCAGCTCGGTAGTGTGCGCAGCTCGTTAGTGAATTACGTTAAGCCAATAAATGTACCGGCTGGCAACCGGACCAAAGAGTGATTGCAACGATCTGACCTAAGGAACAAGAACTCCAACTGAAGATATTAGTGAAATCGAAACCACTGAAGAGGGTATTGTCCATGACCATAGCGGTTATAAGAGGAGTTCGAAACAGAAGGTGAGACCCGACCGGCGCTTGAGCCACACTCCCCATCCTGAATCTAGAAGTTGTTGGATTTTCAAAGAGGCAGTGGAAATACAGGAGAGGCTCAGAAAAGAACCACGCAAATTACCGCCGTCTGTTGCTTTGATTATGCATTGTTCGATCCACAAGAAAATGACCAGCTCAAACACCGCAAGCAGAACGGTTTCACGAATGACAATAACAGAATCTCTATTCAAGCCCAAAAGAACACTTCCTCCGACCAAGGATTTTCTTTTGGAAATAGAACAGCAATCCTCACGTTGTTGCCTTGATGAGCGTATCCTTCAGCTTGCGTCACCAGTTTCACACCTCTCCGCAGGTCGTCTCGTTCCTGCTCCGGAATGCTAAGTGGTTCAAACTCAAACACGGGAGACGATTCTAAGCGCGTTAGGTTCCTCACCCTAAGGTGACAAAAAGCAAGTATCTGAGGGATAGTCGCTGCAAGTCCTCCACTCGCCAACTCAGTAAGTCTCAATGCAAACGACCACCCTGATCCAGACTCACACCACGCAGCGCCCGTATTGTCCGTGACATCGACAATCGTAGGTTCTGGTTGCCCTCCTGTCATGCGAACAGTAAGACCACTGCTGGTGTACAATATGTCGATTCGGTTTGGGCTAACCCTCTTCTTCGTCATCCGCAGGACCCTCTGAGGAACCTCATCCATATACGCTATGAGGTCTACACGCGAGGCCAAATTATTTTTCCTCATCACCTGATATAACGAGATTGCGCCGTTGTCCTCCTCGTCATACGTAATAACGGTGAGGTAGTTCGAATCGCCACCCCAGTACTTCGTCGTTCCAAAAAGCTCCATGTCTAGATCGGTCAAATCTTCGTGGAGGGTAGGACTTTCCGCTTGATCTTCAGATGATGGAACAATAATTGTTCTTGCTGTGCCTCTCCACAAGCTTAACCATCTCGTCGGATGGAACCAGTTCCTGAGCAGAGCAAACCATCCCTCGAGCTCGACACCGCCACCACCTACGCCGGCATTAACATTGACATTCAATTTGAGGGCCTGCCAAAGTTTCAGTGTGTCAAGATACTGCTCCTGAGTGAACATGCCTTCAGGGGTAAGAGGGTAGCCAATGCCGCGAGGCCATCTTGGGAACAGAGGTTGCCGTTTAAGGTGGCGCTGTTTTGGGTCATCCGGTTTTGGGTCATTCGGTTCTGGGTCGTCCGGTTCTGAGTCGTCCGGTTCACGAGACCACATTGGCTCCGCAGACTTTGATTGTCCGGTCCGAGAGCCCCTTAGTAGTGGCCACATATAAGTGATTATCTGCTTGGACCTTGAATTATCGCTCGCAGTATTCGACGCTCTCCGTTCACTTTGAGTAGATAGGTTTATGGAAGCCTGTTGTGACGTCTTGCTCTCGTACGTGGAAGGACTAACACTTTCTGAGTTGAAGTCAGACCTAACTTGGGGCAGTGTTTCATCGGTATCCGAGTCCACTTCGGCCTTATTCCAAAGTTCGAACAAGGTCCCAGAGAGCTCGCTCTTGTCAGGAGGTTCTCCGTCAGTGGCCACTCTTGCATTCAAAACCCAGGACTGCTTTTTTTGTTGGTTCCTGTCGGGCCAGCGTATTCCCTGCTCAGTGTCGACCGGCGGCACGCGATCCTGGCCGATGGACGGGAATATTTGCGCAAACATCCAATCAAACAGCATGGAATTTGATCCTGCCGTCTTTGTCCTCACCGATGACTGAGTAGAAGTTGCTTGGTCTAATTTCCGAAGTTCCTGGCGTACTTCGTTTTCCAAAAGTTTCTTCGTCTCGGATGACAACGTAGAATCGGACTCTAAAGCCCACAAAACGGGATCGTTATCGGCAGGCGTTCGTTGGTTTGGGTAGACCAGTGCTGTGTCCATGGAGCTGGATACCAGCTGCCCGCCGTCAGAAGATAATTCCACCGAGCCAAGCAATCCTTTTGGTTTGGTCCTCAGCAATGCACTTGGTTTTCGATCGGAGATGACCCAATCATCCATATTGATGGGTGTTTGCAACTCCCCCTTCGCAGCAAGGAATGCCGCGGCAGGAGCCACCTGCTCCCAAACAATAGAAGGAAGAATACACTTTAGCAAGATTGGCTCGTCCTCCGGCAGTCCTTCCTTTCTGCTTTGCCCCGTGTTCCAGTCATAATGGTAATATCCGCTTCTCGTAAATGTCGCCTTTTCTTCGGGAATGCGGACGTCTACCACCATTTTTGGATCTGTAGCTGGCCACACATACCATCTCTCATATACATAGTCTATCCTCCCTGGAAGCGCAAAATTGCGCAATTCAATCACAGCTTTGATCAATTCCGCCACCTTCCATTTCTGGTTGTAACGTATACTCCCCCCAATAGGAAATGGATTGCATATTCATATGTCCGAATGCCTTCCCGTAGTGCCATATATGCGTCGGGGTGTGAGTATTTATATGTGGGTTCGAGCTTAGGAGGCCGGATGCTGACCTGACGCTGGTGAATAGGCCTTTCTAGAAGGGCTATAACAGCGTCGGTAGTTGCTTCAAGATCCCCACCGACAAAATACCCATCATTGGCAATGGAGAGAAAGACAGTCGGAGGATTCCCAGATGGACTTGTCGGAGTCGTGGTTTGATCATCTCTCTTCTCAGAAAATGGATATCCAACAAGTATCCAAGCTTCCCTGATCTTATCCACATGCTCGCCAGCATTCTCAATCGTAAGATCCGCGAAGTCTTTGAATTTAGCTCTACCATCTGTGGGAAGCTTACCACTGCTCAGAGCGCGGTACCAGATAGGACCAGCACCTTCCCAAGCATATCCTCCAATTTTAGTAGCAGCAAGGAAGAAAGCGCGATTTGGGATGCCAGAGTTGATGTGAACACCACCGGAGTCCTCAGTTCTGAGAAGTTTCTTGAAGTCCTTCCAGTGCGCAGGCTGACGGTCATTCCCCACTCGATCATCATCAAAAGCTGTTCCAGGATTCTTCATGTCGCGGAGAGCCCTGCCATTGACACCTGGAGCCCAGATTCCCTCCCCAATAAGCCAGTTGGCTTGGTCAACAGTCTGAGGCGTGCCTTCACCCCATTGTTTAACCATAATTCCAAAGGCATCTGCAAGGGACTCATTGAGAGCACCACTCTGGAATTCGTAAGGAAGTCGACTTGCGTAATCCACAACACCATGGCTGAACTCGTGACCGATAACGTCGAGCTCATCTGTGAAGCCGTCAAAGATAACACCGTCTCCGTCACCAAAGACTAGCTCTTCGCCGTTGTAGAAGGCGTTATAGAGGTCCCCAGCATGCACGAAGCCATCGAGCTTGATACCATTATTATCAAAGGAATTTCGCTGGAAGAATTTGAAGTAGAACTCATAAGTCTTCCCAAGCCCAACATAGCACTCGTTCGCATTGTTGCTTGGATCAGTCTCTTGCGGAAGAAGTTCACCACCTTCTGAAATCAGAATTTTGTCACGGGGAGGATGATCATCACGTGAATTCTGCGCATCGTAGACTGTACGGTTCAATTGACGTACACCCCCTGCCATTGTTCGATGCTTAGTACTGTATGCAAGTGTGTGGCGGGCTGCCTTGCGTTGTTGTTCTGTCGCAGCATTCCGTGCAAGTGTTTCAAGGATGTAAGGTGGAATAATACCTTGAGAGTTTTCTTGCGGCTGAGCCGCTGCGATACTCTGCCTATGACGTTCACGAACATCTTGAAGTTGGTTTGTTTTTTCAAGAGTGGATTGGCACCGATGGATAGTGTGCTGTGGTGCCAACCCCTTTTCAATGATGCCCTCCAGCACATATTCTGGTACAATGCTACATAAAGGCGCCATGCTCAATTCCTGGTAATATGTACTGGCAGATACCTTCTGCAAGGCTTAAGGAAGAAAGATAGTAATGGTTGAATTATCACTTTTTGAAATGATTCCGGAGTTCAGACTGTTTCTTTTTCTGCTCAAAAGACTATCCCTTTAATATAGGATGATGCACATATAGATCACATCGTAACATGACCACCTGATCCTTTTTCTTTACGTCATTTTCAAGTCATTATATATGTCAAATGATCTACATAACATGGTGCCTCTGGGTGATGGTTTTACTGCGTGGCTATTCCCTGGCTAGACTGTTCTATGTTCCATGACCAGCAACGCAATATCCATGGCATTTTAGCCACCGCTTCCCTCGTAACTCCGGAACAAGGATCCCATTTAATGTACCCATGAACTGGCGCATGTTTAATGTTACATAGGCTGAATCCGCTTTCTGTAGCTGGGGTGGCAAGGAGGCTATCCAGCTCCCGTGTGAGCTTGAGTTTGCGGATATTGCCCTTATAGCATAATCTTGATGTTTTTAGATTAATTTGACGGATTTAGCAACTACGTTTGTTTTTAATTACTCCCTGCCCTTCCCACTTAAGAATATAATGTGGGAAGTTTAATGGATATATTGCACTGCAAGCCGGTTTTCCATGTATAGCAGGCTAGAACACACTTTCATTATACATATGCGCTTAATTATACTTTAATAGAACATAAGTTCAACGTATTAACCATAGTTTGGAGGGGCTCGAAGAGTCCAGCCTAGGACATTGCTGAAACCATTTTTGAACCCCATTTCCAGAAATAGTTGGGCGGATAATAAGCGTTGTAATTACTGTAACATACGATTGGATAATTAAGGTTTACAAAGATTTGGGTGGACTGGTAGAAGTTTAACTAAAATAATGAAACGCGATAATTAGGTTTTGGATGAGCGGTAGAAGCTTAATTATAATGAGTTTGTCTAGACCTCAGATCATGCTGCATGCGGCCGCGTTGGTCGACTTAGTACGGCCTGCACTTTCCCATTTCTGTGGTTAAGACCTTGATCTGTTCCGGACTGAGTTGAGGCCAATCGGTTATATACTAATAGGAAATGACTTCAACCAGAGACTACAGTCGTTCTCGAATTCGGCTTGACAGATACACTATTCGTCATTCTTCTCTGGCCCCACCGCCAAGACCTTAGCGCAGATCAATTGTTTAGCGGGCCGCGCAACCTTTGTCAACACATTTGGCTTCGCCGCTCTCTCACCCAGTGCGCAAAGATTGGACAATTCCCTCAATTTACGAAATCCTTCAAGAATCAGGTGTTGGGAACAGTATACCCGTTGTATCCCGATCAAGCAGAGAATGAATACAAATAAGAAATTCTGTGGTCTTCTAGACCACGGATTGATATCTTGCTCACGGGCACTAGATAGACTTGTATATATATAGCAAAACGTAGAATAGACGAAAAGATTAAGTTTGTGACGGCTGTGACTTGCTGGCTGCGGATAGCTTGCCTGAGGTATCTGTTTGCGGGTTTTGGGATGTTTGCCTGCTGTGTATCTGTGCTCTCTCTTCCTGCTGACCTTTCTTCTCTTTCCTCTCCCCTCTTCAGCTTCGATACTTCGTCAAATGACACGAGTTGATACTTGATCTCTTCCTGGTCGTAACAAAGTTCGTGAAAACACGTAGGATTAAACAAGTCTGGAAGACACTGCCACCCTTCTGAATATGGCGTGCTTAAATTCAGAAGAACCGCTGTGATGGCCGGTTTATTTATTCATTTTGTTGGGTATCGCTGTGGCCAAAGCATATGGCGGGGACTAAGTAGATGAGGAGTCCTCCTCCGAAAATTGAGACTTAACCCAATAGAATCACTTTATCGAAACAGGTTTTCAGCCCGGGATGGCTCACAGCAACCACTGATATACACCTTACAGCTAAGCTTCCCTATTAAATGATAACCCCGATTGATACACTCAAGAACCTGACCATCTAGTCTCAGTAATCCTGCTCCAAACAGAAGAAGAACGTGCTCAAACACAAGGACTCAAGAACCAAAGGAGGACTGAGGAGAATGAAGTTCGGTCCCCTCAAAGTTCGCTCATTATAAATTCTTCGCAAATCCATCATGCAACTTCAAGCTTCTCCACTGATACTACCAACCACGAAGAAGATGCAGTTCCTGGACTATGTGCCCCTTTTTTGCCTTTTCGCCGATGTCGCTTTTGGTGGCTCTCTGATTATTATTAACAACCACGACCAATGCATGATGTGGTCTGAGAGTAATTATGGGTGTACAGGTTATTCGTCACCTTTCGCTCGTCTCGATGGGACAAATTGTTCAAGTAGGTTTGATTATGCTCTGGGCTGAGATGATCAAGGATTGAAAATCTTCCAGGCTTCACTGTAAATGGTACCCAAATCAATAACGAGACGCTGAAGCTTGATCTATGTGGCACAATAGGCGGGCAGCAAGTGGCATGGGTCAACGTTAAGAAAGATGGCACCGTTTCTTTCCTAAATCAACAAGGCGCTACCGCCACTTGCTCCCTGGATGACGAGTTTAACGTGGGTAGCAAGTGCAGTGTTACGGACACTGGTCCCTCGCGTAGCGCAACGACAGTTCCCGTCTCGCGGCAAACCTCTGCTACGACACCCATCACCAGCCAATCTGGAGCTTCTTCGTCGGATAGGGGCTTGTCTTCTACTTTAATTCAAGCCTCCACTTCGATTTCACTCATCAGCCAATCCGAAGCTTCCAGTTCGGCAGAGCTCGTGGTATCGATTTCAGGATCGTCGTCGGTAGCTGGATGCTCCTGTATTCCAGTCAATACCTGACCATCAGTTTTAACAATGGAAAATCCCTCTTTTATCGGTAAAAAGGGCCATGAAGAAATAATTTTTTCGTCTTTCCCGAGTCTGTCTTCAAAGACAAGTTACTTCAGTTATGCTAAAGTCCTAAGAAATGCAGCATGGTCCTCCCAAAACCTCGTATAGTGTTCTTCAAACAGACTTGGCGGTTCTGCATTGGAGGCTACGCTTGTATGGCTAAAGAAACGGAGATTAGTCATGGAATAGGAGCACGATCGGACTGGAGCGGAGGATGAAACAGGAAATTAAATCAGCATAGTCGTACTTCTCTTGATAATTCCCCATTTTTGTTGGCTTAGTTTATTTTCGTATCTGTATATGATCTCAGCCAATCTGACCCTCCACCGAAAGTTGGTTGACGAAGAAATACTCGTTGGCATAGTGCGCAAATAAATTTTGTTGTCGTCAACAAGCCTAATATTTACCTAAGATGAACAGTAGTATCTCTCCACCCATAGGCAGAAAGTGATCGACGCGTCTAGTACAAGAGATTTAGCGCCACAGCAGCCTTCTCGCAAGGAACTTCGGTTACGCGTACGGAGCACATCAGCTATTTCATAATCGCTAGTGATTTTAAGTTCATTCTGTACCCATTTCGTAGGCTACTGTCTTTTGACAAATGTCATAAAGCCACGGGATATCACTTGCTGTCTTTGTGGCGAAATCGCAACATCCCCCGGTACATTATGAGAAGCATGCCACTTTGTTACACTCGTAACCCTGCACTTTATGGTTGCTTGACCGACGTACCTAACAGACTATGTTACCGCTGCGATCCACAGTGGAAAGCCAGATAGGATCAAGTAAGACCTATCACACGCATAAGCGCGTAGGAGTAACACGCACATTTTGATTAATAGTCGCGGTCTCGCCTCACTTGATCCGAGCTACGACGCCAAGCCACTCATGCCGCTCCCGTCACTCCTACGACTGCTACACCTCCTACAACTCCTGCCGCTCCTGTTAGTCTGCCGTGCAAAGCCATCAAGCGATTGCAGCATGTCGTAAACCTTGAGAGAGATGTTTATGAATCCATGACTTCGGAATATCCTGGCTGATCGCCTGCTGAATTCACTCAGAGTCCAACTATTCCTTGTCGGCATGAGCACAAGTAGGGTCCACGTTCCGACTTCCCCAAAATTATTCCGCTCCTGGCCCTTTCCCTAATGTATCTGGCGCCTTAGTTCTGTTCGCTTTTGGATTTCCAGAGTTTCATTATTCCAAAGGCCTGGGTAGCCACAACGAGACCGGAGATATAGGCCCGGCTTCTCAACAGTATCATAAGTAGAATATGTGCGATATCTTTATCTATGAATCAACCTCAAATATACAACAAGATATGTTGTTCCCTCGTAAGGGTCATAATAAACCGCCTCGCAAGCCTTGTACCGGTTTATAAAGCCCTTTGTAAAGCTCGAGGACTGATAGTAAAGTCCGCCGTGAATGGTCAAAGTATTCCGGTTGTATTGGTGTCCACAAGGATGCAGGGTCGAGTTGCACTCCTGCCTGTTGGTAACTTAGTATCTGAATTCTCGTCTTCACCATCCATTCTAATAGTGATCCTTCAATAGCTCAACGATGTGAGCTTGAACTTTTGATCCTAAGGTTCTTTTGTGTTACGCGAGCAAATTTCCGACCACTGCTAGGGTCAGGGTAAATAATTTCACAGAACATACACACATACCGTGGGCTTCAAGGGTATCGTTACGTTGCTCCTGGGAAATGCTACCATGGTTCCCATTGCAACCCGGGAGACAATGGCATACTTAAAAGACCCTTTAGCCCCCAAAAGCAGATAGCATAAATCATAAAGACTAGGGTTGCGACCCTGGTCCAACCCGAGCTGTCAATTTAAATACGAGGTACCCTCTTTCGTTGTGCTTAGTCGATTTAACAGGAACGCGCTGTCACTCGTTGGTCAAGAACAAGACAAGGATAGCATGGCAAGGATGTCTATCAGATATTATTAATATTCGCAGGCACCGGAACTCGTTTCGTTTCCGACAAAGTTTGCTCGCTGTCTATATTGTTGAACTGCGCGGATATTAGACCCCGAAGGGGGTATATATCAACATACAACGTCATGTGATAATCTTCATGTCGCTTTCCTGTATTACGCCCGTGGCTCATATATAGGGAACGCCTAACAATGGCTCTGCCTAGACGGTTCGCTCATGGAGCTTCGATCGCCTTGTTCACTAGAAGCGCTATTAAAGCATATAAAGTCGAAATCGGTGTGCTGCTGCCTGCTAGTCATGTGCTGAATGGACGAAACGACGAGTGATCGGAGACATGGCAGTGAGGCAGTGATAATCACTATATAGCTTTCAACGAGACCCCAGCGTACGAGGTTGGAAGTCGCCCCCGTGAAATTAGGGCTGGTAATGTCCTTAAGTAAGACGGTTTTGGCCAAAGAAGCTGTCATTGCACTGAAGCCAATTAGTACAAGTATTTATTTTAGAAGGACAAACAGAGCCACAGGGAATATCACGAAGACACCTACAAAAGCCCAAGGCTCATCAACACAATAAGACTAACTCTTACCCCAAGCCGAAGGTTGAGACCCCAGAAGATCTATGTCGGCACTATGACAAGGTATAGATCGACTGCAGTGTTGAAAGCTAATAATGGAGAGCAGTCAGTAAGATATAACGTGTAAATTGGGAACCTTTGTTCGCAGAAGCAAGCAGAAATAGGCGTACCGGACTGAAAGTAAGCGTAGCATTTTTGGCCGGTGAGGCATTCATTAGGGAGGTCTTTGTTCCAGATCGGCTGCAGATCTTTGCAATTGGTGAATATCAGGATAATGGACACGGCGTTAAATGCCACCTCCAAGATTGCGAGCGTCAATAAAATAATTCTATGTTTCTTCTCCCCACCTAGGATGACCTGAAGGTAGAGAATAAAGGCCACACAGCCGGCAGTACTGCTGCCAATGACACATGCCTGAGCGATGGTATAAAATTTGAATACGTGGACGGCAGGGTTGAAGGAAAATTGGCCAATATCCTGCCCATAGCCATAATGCACGGCAATAAGGGTAGATGCAATGATGGTTAGGGCCTGCAGGAGAAAGAAACAAGACAGATGTGAGCCAAACGGATTGGAAGTTGAACACGCCGGATATACGATGGTCGACCTACCCAGGCAATCATCATGGTCGCGTCATCCACCTTTAAACGACCGATCCTCGTCTTGGCGAAGATGCGCAAGGCGACCACCACAGTGGTAACGCCTCCTAAAACCCAGAAGAGAATAACCAAGGAAGGGGCCTTCATTAATATGAGGTGTGTTCGCCGACGCACTATTATCTCTGGTCTGCAATGAACGAAGGTATTGTATCATGTCGAAAAAGTCGAAGTCAACCATGCTTGAAATGGAAAAGAGGAGCAGAAACGTTATTTAATGAGGAGACCCTGCCAAGAACCAGCAGAAAGCAGCAAGTGTTGTTGCTGTTTTGACGGTTCAATGTGTTACAGTCCGTGAGAACTGTGGCTGTAACCAAAAGCCTCTCAAGGCCTCGGCCTCGTCCAGGCCCCACCAAAACGCGGGTTTGATCCGGAATTTGACTTTTAAAACCCGCAACATTGGTCCCATGCACTTGTTTTCCCCCGTATTTTGTACTGATATCCTTGGTTTAGTTAACATCCAAAGTCAACATGACGCGTTAAAGTAAGGTGTGGGGACTCTTCGCGTATTTGGCAGGATAGCGCGTTCTCTGCATGCATCTAGCTGACGGATCCGGACACCTAGGCACTCCTTGCTTACTGTATAGTACAATTTGATATGACACGATGGTTGTTCTACAAATGATGCACGAAATTTGAAACCAAACGCTTCTTGGTAATAATTGGGGTGCTATCTGCTGCGGGAGAGCGTATTTAAAACGCGGGGGTTACTCGCGTTACCCATGGCGCTTATCCTCCACTCCTCATGTATGTCTGAGATATTCATAGTCCTTTGGAACGAACTATGTTCCTAGGAGCCTGCCGTGCGCCCAGCCAGACCCCGTTACGCAAATGGCCTGGTTAGACGTCCTAGGAACTCAACCCATATCCACAACCCATTAGGTTGCTGACTGGGGACGTGCCAAAGAATATCAAAGTTGCTGCTGTATAAATGTAATACCACGAATACCCATCTCTAACATTTACAATCTTCTGAAGTCATCGATCAAAAATACTATATCTGAAGACAGAACAGCAATTATTCCTCTTTGCCATGGTGAGTCTGCTATGTTGACTAATTGTGACATTCATATAACAAATTCGCTACCTACAGTTACCCAAACGCATGATGCCCGACCTGACAAGTACGGGTGCAACTACAGCCCAAGTTGCTAAAGCTGCACAGCGCGGCATGCATGCTCTATTAGAGAATATTCAAGCTAGTGAGCGCACTGGCGAACTCCTGAATAAAATTGGCCGTCAACTGCTTTCCGTCAAAAAGCGATTGGAGAGTATTACATCAGAGGTAGAAGGTGCATATTCTTGCGATACAGTCATTCTCGAAATTGCCTTGACCAGTACACTCTTCGACTATCTTTCTTGTCCCCACTGCCAAGCCTTTAGCGCGGATCATCTATTGGGCCCACCCCATTAAGTTGCGGTACGGTGTGATCTCCCCGAGCTTGTACAGTGACGTTCAAAACGTGGGCCCTAATTTGATGCGTCCAGCCTAATAGATGATCCACGCTAAAGGCTTCGCAGTGGGGCCAAGAAAGATACAGTATGGATGGATGATATCATTTACCCTGACCTCTCGCTTTTGGCGATATACAGGATACAACAACTATATATATCCTTGTATGTACATGTGTAATGTCCCACTTCCTGAAAACGAACTTGGAGCCTCGTCAAGGCCTATCGTGGCCCAGGTGCCGTTCAAGTTATTAGGCTGCCCTCATGGCGCGCGACTTTTGAATCTTTGTGACGCCTCAGCGAAGTCTAGTACGGCTTTGACCGTCCTAGACCGCGACACGATGTCTGGCTTACCTCTCCTACCTTCGGTTGAGCCTCCCAGCAGACTCGACACGTCGTTGAACGCGTCCCTAGCTTCACGTCTTAGCTCCCTTCGGATTTCCCTCAAATTTGGGCAGTCTACCAGCACGTGGGTGACTGTTTCTTGCGCGCCGCACACGCACTGATCATTGTCGCGGAAGCCAAAGGTCTTGGCATAGGTGGATAGCCAGTTGTGGCCCGTGCGTAGCTGTGTCAACAGGTACGCCCGGCCCCTGGGCAAATTCCCATACAGCTTCCTGGTGTAGGTCGCTGGTAGAGTGTTATCAATTTTTCGTAGGTGACCGCCTTTGGTTGATGCTTTCCATTCCCGCTCCCATTGAGCGAGGGTCTTGTCTCGGATAAGCGCTCTCTTCCTTGTCAGCAAAGGGCGGAAGGGGTGTGTTTTGCCCGGCCTTGCCGCGTCTTTGGCCAACCGATCTGCTGCGTCGTTCCCTGGATCGTCGCAGTGTCCGGGTATCCATTGGAGGCGGAGCGCGATTCCCTTTGCTTGAACCTCTGCGGCCGCCTGGAGGATCGCGTGGATGATGCGTTGTCCTGACTTGTTTCCTGGGTTTTCGATCGCCTGCAACGCTGACTTGCTGTCGCAGAGGATCGCTGCCGTTGTTGTTCCATTACGTTCCGTTCTAGGCCGTTGATGGCTAATCTTGAACACTGTACTGACAGCGTAGAAAATACCTATCAGCTCAGCTACGTGAACCGACCATCGGTCCATCGGTCCCACCTGGACCTGCTGGGACTCGATGACCTCTAGGTTGTTGTCGAGTGCAACGACTGCAGCGCCTAGGTGTCCTTCGCGTCCCGAGGCATCCGAGTAGACCACGATGGCGGATGTGGACCGCACCATGTCCGCCTGTTCTCTTGCCGTCTCTCGGTCTGACCCGAACTCAATATCCGTGAAAGACTCGGCTCGCCACGGTGGCAGCGGTCGTGGATCGATCGTCTCTACTTCATCTAATCGTTCTAGGTTCATGGTCTTCAGGGCTTCCGCCAGTGGGAATCGAGCGTGCGACCCGATGTTGTTCCTACGTTTCTGGGCTCGCCGGAGTGTATCCCAAACCGGATGGTCGCGCGGCAGAGTGTGAAGGCTTGCGATGGTGTTCTGCGCTCGGTGGCGAAGTCGGAGATGTGTTGGCAAAATATGTGCTTCCACTTCCAGAGTTGTGGTGGCCACTGTCCTGAAAGCTGATAGGATGCGGATCAATGTGGTTCTCTGGACTGTATTCAAGTGTCGTAGGTGGGTCTTGTCTCGCAAAGGATCGTGCCAGACCGTCGACGCGTAGTCCATGACCGGCGTTACGCAGGCTTGGTACAGCTGTCGCATCTGCTCTGGGCGTAGATGCCGCAGCCCGCCTAGAGCAATACTGACCTTGGTTGCGCGTTTGATCGCTTGCTGGACGTGTTCTTTCCAGCGAAGCTCCTGGTCGAACACCACCCCTAGAAGCTTGGCAGTGGGCGACGGTTCGATTGTCTTCCCGCTCATTACCACTTGCCCCTGCATCTGTTCGCGTCGTTTCCTGGTGATATGAATCAGTTCGGTTTTCTCGGCTGCAAAGCAAGACCCAGTTCGACGGGCCCATGCCTCAATGCGGGGAATATCTTCCGATTGAATCATGGCTAGGTTCTCTTCGGCCGAGCGTCCTACACGCCAGCGAAAGTAGTCGTCGATATAGGCGGATGCACCGCCGTGAGAGTTGACAGGTTGGTCGACTAGGTCGGAGTTGAAGAATGCGAAGAGGATAGGGGAGAGAGGCGAGCCCTGTGCAAGTCCCGCGTTCGCCAGTGGTGTGGCCTCGGTGCGGAAATCATCAAATCCTATGCTGGCGTGGCGGTCGCTCATAAAGCTCACGATCCATTTTCTCGCCACGGTTGGGATTCTCCTTGCTCGGAGGCAAGCGTCTAGGCTCACTTTGTTGACTCCGTTAAAGGCGCCTTTCAGGTCAAAAGCCACTAGCGTAATCACTTTGTGTATATACCACGCTTGGTCAATCGCATTAGAGAGGACCAACAGGGCCTGTTCAGTGGTTCTGCCTGGTCGTCCTCCAAACTGGGTGTCCGGTAGCAGGCCGTGCTTTTCAGCGAGGTACGACAGTCGTCGCGCCATTACCGCTTCAAGGAGTTTGCCTAGAGTGTTAAGCAGCGAGATCGGTCGATAGGCCCCAGGTACTGAATAGTCAGGTTTCTTGGGTTTCCGAAGCACCACAATCTTCGCGCTTCGCCATCGCCTCGGGTGATATCCTAGATTGACTGACGCGGTGAAGATTCCTGTGATGTAGACCTTGAGGTGTCTCCACAGCTGTTTCCATACCAGCGTCGGCAGGCTATCTTCACCAGGTGCGGTAGATCCTTTTGCGGCTTTGAGGGATCGTTGAATCTCAAGCTCAGTGATAGGTTGCCACGGAAGTGCTAGGGGTGCTTGGGCGGGCAAGTCCTCGTGAGGTTCGTCCATTTGCGGGAAGAAAGCGTCTAGGAAGGCCTGCGCTTTGTCCTTATTTTCTATGAGCTCGTTGGTGCCGACGTGCAATGCCGGCACACATCCCCAGGCTTCTCGTGGTCTCATGTAGGTGGCTGCTTTCCAGAGTTTCCCTTCCCCGGCTTCGTCAAGGAACTGTTTCCAATGTGACGCTTTCACCTTCTCGATAGTCCGGGTCCATAATCGTCGTTTACGCTGCATCTGTTGAAAGAGCGTTGTGGAGCGGGCGTCGTGTCGCCCGAGTTCCGCACAGCTCTCTTGCCACATCCGGCGTAGTTGATTGACCTCGGTCTGCTGTGTTTTGAGGGCTGGGGTGAACCAGCGTTTGGAGTATGGCGTTGGTCGCAGGTCGGGAGTGTGCCTATCCACCGCTGTTGCGGTCACCTCTGTGAGCCTTTTAACTACCTCATCTAGCGCCGGTCTCGTTTTCACCTCCTTCCATGGGCTCATTTGTCGAAGCACGTCTTCGGCGATCTTGCCCCAGTCCGCACGGTCGTAGGCTTTCTTTGCCTTAGCGACGGGTTGGCGCTGAGCTCTGAGGTTCCATTCGGAGTACGTTGCACGGTGGTCCGATCCGTAATTTTCGTGGTAGAGATGGCATTTGATAAGCAGATCCGGTCGATTCGTTACCGTCTGGTCAATGGTAGAGTGTCTCCCCGGGTCGTTCAGAGACCAGTAGGTCGCCGTCCCCCGGGGGAGGCAGCTATGTAGGCTGTTGGCTTGGAAGAATGTGATTAAATCGCTTGCATCTTCGATAAACCGTGGTTGTATACTGTTACCGCCCCAT